CCAAACTATCAACCGTGCTAACACTTATTAACATTAAGTCGAAGCATGGGTGGACGGACAATAATTTTACTTCTTTGTTGACCGCGTTAAGTGAGATGTTGCCTGACGGGAATGAAATTCATAAGTCTTACTATTATGAAAAGAAGCTCATGTGTCCATTTGGTTTGGAGTATAAGAAGATTCATGCATGTCCTAATGAAATTCCTAAGTCTTACTATTATGCAAAGAAGACTCATGCTCGTCCAGCTTGTTCCTGTACACCCATTTGAGCCCAATGACTTTCTTGTTCTTTGGTTTGGGCTCTAGATGCCATACTTTGTTTCTTACGAACTCATTCAGCTCTTCTTGCATGGCCACAATCCAATCAGCATCTCCCAAGGCTTCTTGATGATTTCGAGGTTCTAGAATGGATAGAAATGCATGGAAGGCACATAAGTTCCTCATCTGCGATCTTGTTTGAGTTCCTTTACCAATGTCACTAATGATGAGATCAGTAGGATGGGAACCTTGATATTTGAACGGCTTAGGTTGAAATTCCCTTGCTAGAACTCCAATTTAAGGAGCTTCTTGCTCTGTTCCTTCTGCTTCTTCTTCGTCAGCTGGTTCCTCATTGACCTGTACTTTTGGTTGAAGAAATTCTTCATTCTCCTGTTGATTCTGCTCTGGAACAGTCAACTCTTCTCTGGTTTGCTTTTAAACTTCTTCTTCATCCCTATCTCTTATCAATCCAATTTCAAAATCATTATTTTCTTCTGGTACCTGCACAATCACAAATTGGTTAACTTCATCAAAGATTATGTGAATGCTTTCCTCAACACACATTGAACTTTAATTTTAAACACTGTAGGCTTTACTGTTAGAGGCATATCCAAGGAATATAGCCTCCTCACTTCTCTCATCAAATTTACCTAGATTTTTCTTACCATTGTTATGTACAAAACACTTACAACCAAAGGCTCTGAGATGAGATATGTTTGGTTTTCTTCCCTTGAACAGTTCATAGGGAGTCTTATTGATGATGCTTCTAATTGTTACTCTGTTAAGAATGTAACATGTTGTGTTCACGGCTTCAGCCTAGAAGTTCCTTGGCAATCCACTTGCAATCAGCATCGTCCTTGCCATTTTCGCTAGAGTTCGATTCTTTCTTTCCACAACTCCGTTTTGTTGGGGAGTTCTTGGAGCAGAGAAGTTATGGTTCATTCCATTTTCCCTGCAAAACTCATCGAACTTGAAGTTCTCAAATTCAGTTTCATGATCTAATCTGAGATGGATTATAGAATAGCCGCTGATTTACTGTACTTTCTTGGCAAAGGCAACAAACTCATCAAAGGTTTCATCCTTTCTAGCAAGAAAAATTACCCAAGTGAATCTAGAATAGTCATTAACAATAACCAATACATACTTCTTGCCACTCCTGCTTTGAATTCTCATGGGACCACACAAATCCATATGGATTAATTCCAGAGGCTTTATAGTGCTCACCATTTTCTTAAATTTAAAAGATGAACGAACATGCTTGCCTTTCACACATGCATCACATACTTTGTTTTGTAGGAAATTAACTATAAGAAGTCCTATAACTAAGTTCCTTGACCTAAGTTTGTCGAGTAATGAAAAGTTAGCATGTCCAAAACGTTTATGCCATAGCAGGGGATCGTCTTCAACAACACTTAGACATGTAAGGTTGTTCCTTGGGATTGAGTTGAGGTCGACAGTCTATGTGTTCCCTCTTCTCGTTCCTTCAAGAACAACCTTTCCTGACTTTTTGTTGATGATTTGGCAAGAGTCAAAAGTAAAACTTACAGAGTTTCCTCTATCATAGAATTGTGATATACTGAGCAAATTGTGCATCAAGCCCTCGACCAGGAACACATTGTCTATGGAGTGAGACTTTGATAATCCAATCTTTCCTTTTGCAATGATCTCACCCTTCTTGTTATCCCCAAAGGTTATTGTTCCTCCAGGGTAGTCTTCTAGTGAGAGAAATTTTGATTTGTCACCTGTCATGTGCTTGGAACACCCGCTGTTGAGATATCACGAGTTATTCCCCTCCATTAGAACCTGCAAGAAAACTAAGCATTAGGATCAGGAACCCAGGTTTCCTTGGGTTCCTTAGACTGGGAAGCAATATCAGTTTTCTTTACCCATACTTGCCGATAGTTTCTTTTATTAGCTTCCTCTCTATTTCTACAATGCTCAAAGAGATGCCCAGTCTTTCCACAAAAAGTACATACCTTCATGCTCGGAAGCTCAACATATTTCTTTTGTTTTCCTTTTCTCTTGGCTATATAACCAAGTCCTTCAGTATGCTTTGTTTGAGCTTCTGAGATCCACTTAGGTATGACTTTTGGATCTATGCTTCTATCCTTTCTAGCAGTCAATTCCTTCTCAAGTTTATCCTTTTGAGTTTTTAAAATCGAAAGTTCATTTTTCATATTTTTGAAATCAACATTGAATTTTTGCATTTGATCACTTGAGGAACTGCTAGAACTGATATCAGAATTCATGAGCTTATACTAAGTTAATTCGACATTCAGAAGAATGCTATCATTCTTGATTCTATCAGTTATTTCAGTTATGTGTTTATACTTAGAGTCTAGCTCTCTTAATTTGCTCTGAGCCGTAATATAGGTTGTTTCCAACCATGTGCCATGTTCTTTGCAAATTTTAAGAGCCTTTTCACATTCATTAAGCTTGACACATGTTTATCTAAAGTATTCTTCTTCTTCTAAACATATATCAATTAAGACTTCTTTAGAGAGAGTTTTAAGCTATTTAGGATCAAGAAATACCTCTTTCAAGCAATCATAGCCTTCTTCATGTCTGACATGGAATAGTTTGCTTTGCTGAATTTTTCCTTCCCTTGCTCCTTGAGCTTTCCCTTGCCTTTATCATTCTCCCAGTGGGGACAGTCTCTGATAAAGTGTTCATGGGACCCACACTTGTGGCAGTTATAGTCAGGCTTAGCAGTTGAAGACCTTTTTCACGAAGTTCCTTGATGTGCGTCCCTTCTTGAACATCTTCTTGAATTTTTGCACAAGCATAACAACCTCTTCTTCGTCTACTTCTGTGTCTTCCTCATCATCAGTTTTAAGTGTCAGCCCTTTGTTCTTCACAGGTTCACTACTGACTCTAAGGTGCAGCTCATGAGTCATGAGCGAACCAACCAGTTGCTCGATATTGAACTTAGTGAAGTCCTTAGTTTCTTGAAGGGCTGTCACTTTAGATCTCCATCTTTCATCTTGTGGAAGGCTTCAAACGACTTTCCTGACCTGCTTATCTGTAGGAATTTTTCTACCAAGAGAAACAACTCATTTATAATGTTAGTGAATCTGGTTAGCATCTCTTTAATAGTTTCTTTTGGTTGCATCTCAAATTTCTCATACTTAGACATAAGTAGATCAATTTTTTAGCGCTTAACCTCATTAGTTCCTTCATGAGTAATCTACAGCAAATCCCATATTTCCTTTGTGTTCTTGCACCCCATAACACGATTATGTTCGTGAGGTCCAAGCCCACAGTGAAGCAATTTTACAGCCATAGCATTGATTTCCATTTTGTCAAAATCTTCCTTATCAAATTCAGACATAGGTTTAGGGATTACCTCATTTTGTGCATTAGTTTTAGTGACTTCAAAATCACCAAATTCAATGACCCTCCAGACTTGGTAATTCTCTGCCTTGATGAAGATCTCCATTCGGTTTTTCCAGTAAGTATAAAACTTACCATTGAATATAGGAGGCCTCTGAGTTGAGTATCCTTCCTCGAGCTTTTCATGCATATTCATCTTGTCCAAGATCCTTCTCGTCAGGATTTCCTGAATCTTCGAGAACTCAAGCTCTGATACCAATTGTTGTTTCAATGAATACTATAAGAAGGGGGAGTTGAATTGTAGTATAACAGATTTGTCAAACTTTTTGCGAAAATAAAAACAATTAAGCTTAAGGAACTTAAAGTGCAAGACAAATTTTACGTGAAAAACTCTTTGGCCCCTAAACAATGAGAAAAACCACGACCACAATGGATTTTAGGAAAAGATTCTTCACTAGAATAGGACAATGGCCTATTACAAGCTAAAGACTCTAACTTCAAGTTCCTTAACGAACTCAAAGCTCCAAGCAACAGGTCACCCAACTTGTTACTCTTCTCTTCTCTTTCTCTTCTCTTTCTCCTAGCTTCACTCAAAGCTAAAATAGAAGTTCACTCAAATTTCCCAATTCCCCAAAATACAACTCGAAAGAAACAACTCGAAAGAATTAACTCTAGTAAAAGAAAATAAGAACACTCTATTTCACTAATGTGGAATTGGACTCTTGACTCGATTAAAGAAAGCAAAATATGAAATCTATTTGAGCAAGGGTGAGTTTTTCCGACTAAAATAATTGGTTGTTTATAGACTGGTTTAGCTTAGGAAAAATGCCTTGTGCTGCTCAGCCTTACTGCCACTACTCTCAACCCACTAAGTAGATCATGTCCTAGAATTAAGGACATGAACTCCTTAATGCGCAAGACCATGACATGGGCTAAGTCATGGAGAGTAGTCCGCAAGTCTAGGAAAACTGTAACATATTTAATTTTCAGCAGAATTTTCGAATAAAATGAAATAAAATCTATTTCATATTTTTAAAAGGATAAGAATTGAAACGACTGTTTTCCTAAAATCAAGCAATGCATAAAAATATCTTTTGGACCAATTCCACACAACTAACTTAGAGTATAAACTTAATTCTCATACTTACATAAATCCTAAAACATAATGTTTCTCGATGAAGCTTCTACGTCAAGGCTTCTGTTCCTTCAAAGGAACTTCTCTTCTCTGGTGAAGCTTCTACTCCGAAGCTTCTGTTCCTTAATAGGAACTTCTCTTCTCAAGGCTTCTTCTCTTTTGGATTACTTTGTCCTTTGCCATCTTGTTGCTCATGAAATCTTTACTAGACAACTCAATTCTCCTAGTCAATGCATCTGATCACACACTTAAACAATCAAGCACTTATTAGTCGGTAAATAAGTTAGATTGTGTCATCGTCAAAATCATATGGTCAACATCTAGGCAAATTGGCAATGAGGCCAATTACAACAAACCTCTAAAAAATCCTCATTTCTTCTTGTTGTTGTTGTTCTTCTTCTACTTCTTCTTCTTCAATTCCCACCTTTCTTAAGATCAATCAATGGCTATGACAACTGCTCTCTGCACTTGCTCATTCCTTCACACCACCACACAAAAACCTCTACTTTCTCTCTCCTCTTCTTCCCACCTCTCACACTCTCTTCCCTACTTCACTCTCAACACCAAAAACTTGAACAATTCAGCTTTAAAACCCACCAATTCTTTCTCAATTTCAGCAGTTTCTACCCCAATTGCTGAAACTTCTCAACCCACTTCATTATCAAATTCAAAACCCTCTAAATCCCTTCCTTTTCGGGTCGGTCACGGGTTCGATCTCCATCGCTTGGAGCCGGGTTATCCTTTGATTATTGGTGGTATCGACATTCCTCATGATAAAGGATGCGAGGCTCACTCTGATGGTATCCTTTTTCTCTCTCATTTCTGGGTGTTTTTTGTTTTTCATTTTTATAGAATTCAATTTTGTTTTGATGTTGAATTTTGTATTGAATAATGTTGGGATATTTTGCATTATTGTAAATTAATTACATGCTTGGCTGGAATTTTTCTGGGCAATTTCGGATTCTTTGTTTGGAAATTTGAAGGGGTACTGAAATTGATGGTTTCTCTGTTATTGCTAGATATATTTTTGATTTATTTTAATGGAATTTCTCTTATTTGGAATGTTGAACTGTGTATTGAATAATGTTGGGCATTTTTGTGTTTTATAGGTGAATTATCTGTTTTATTTTTGGGCAATTTTGGATTTTTTGTGGAATATTATTCTTGATAGTTAGGAAATTTATAGTGGTGTATTGTAATTATATGTATTTTTTTAATCTTTGATTGTAGGAGATGTACTGCTTCATTGTGTGGTGGATGCTATATTGGGGGCATTAGGGCTTCCGGATATCGGGCAGCTTTTCCCTGATAATGATCCCAAGTGGAAGGGTGCAGCTTCTTCTGTTTTCATCAAAGAAGCTGTGAGTGATTTGTTTACTTTTCCCTTTTTTTTTAATATCGTGATTCATGTAGGAATTTTCTTGGTTGTTTCCAATGAACTTGAACTTTTTGAATATCATTCTCAGCTAATGAGATGAAATGTGGGTGTGACTCATATTCCACTAGTGTGTGGTCTTTTGAGATGCTTTAGGTGAGATGACACCAATCTCGAACTTTTCAAAATTTCTAGTTTAAGCACTTGAGTTAAAGGTTTTATTCAAAATAAGATGGAGCTAAATCAGGTAAGGATATAAACCCCCAACAATAGTATTCATTAGGGAGAAGGTATGGCCTTAGAGAGTTGTTGGAGGTGGAAATTGGACAGCATGAGCTTCAATAGTGATGTCTTACCTTATCTTTTCTGCATCCCATATTTTCTCTGACTCTTCTTTTTCATCCTCGTGATCTTTTTCCGCCTCTTTCGATTGCACCTTAAGTACTAAGAAGGATGAGATAATTTCTAACTTGAACAGTTAGGGCTGCATCAGAACTTGTTTCAAATTAGATTGATCAATCATTAGTCTTTATGTTTCCAGGGTTTATCATTCTTCTTATCTCTCCAATCTTATCTTGGAAATCATACTAATTTCCTCCCAACCATTTGTCAAGTCTCCAGTCTAGTCACCGTATGCTATGTTATTATGTATTTGAATTCCCCTAAGTCCTTGATGCTGAATGCCTCATTCAACTGAGCATTGCCCTTTGGGTATAGCAAATTGATGCCTGTCACCCATGTATCAACTGCACTATTTCAAATACTAAAAAGATGGTTATATTGTTGCTCTTCCTCTAGATGAAGACAGTTTTGTCATCCTTAGACTGCTTACAGCTCCTTTTAACAAGGCTTGAGTTAGCTTTGCAGACCATTGTCTGGCTGTTTATTTAAGTCCATGTTAGGACTTTGTCAATTTGGTATGCTTTCGGGCATCTTCACTTGAACTTCCTCATGCAATTCTCCTTGTAACAGGGTGTTAGTTACATACAATTGGTTTTGTCTCCACCCCCTTGATGCTGTAATCACACTATTACGCACCTGATACTTGACATATTAATTCAGGGCGAAAATTTATTTGGAAAACAATTCCAGCAGCTTTGAGTGCCAATAATCTTGCTTTTAACCTTTCAATGTTGCTGTCTGGCTTAAGCTTAATTTTAAAATTACCCACTGGCAATCCATGGGTCTTTTGCCTGCTGGGGGGTTGTTAACTTATGAGTTGCAGTGCATCTAATCCCTTTTGCATTGCATCGAACCTTTTAAGGTCTTTTAAGGCTTTAGTTGTAGGTTCTCTGCAGGAACAATGCATGATACTAAGGCATTGTGAGTGATAGGAAACTGCGGAAACTGTATAATGTTGCACCAAATTGCATCAATACACTCAGTGGCTCTAGAACACATATAGCCTAAGTATTAATCAAGGAACGATATCCTGATAGGCGTGAGACTTGAATTGACAGGAGCAGAGAATGATTCGAGTGATATATATGCCTCATTAATTGCAGGGTGAGGTGGAATTTGGAGGTGAGATTTGTAAGGAAAATCAGGCAACACGAAGAACTTTGTGCAAAATAATGTCAATATATGAGCTGACCATTCCGTAGTGGATTTAGGTTTCTATTCTATTTGGTATTGTAATATGATTGTCAGGATGTGTTATCTTTATGTAAGAGTTGAACTGGGATAAACGAGGAGTAATGTAGTATGTTGCTCCACTATATATGACCCAGTAGGAGTTGTGTCAAAAGGCAAGCTTTTTTACCTGCTAAGAAATCCGTGGAAGTTTCTTCTCCTTGTGACACTGGTGGTGTGGAGAGATCTTGGCATGTCACTATTGCTGTAGTTTGAGATTTGGTGCTGAATTTGTTACTTAATCCGAGGTAGAAAAAGTGTCATCATGATCCAGTGTAATTCTGAAATATGCAGCAAGCCTTATACTCTTTCCTGCCCTGAATCATAGAGTTTGAAGCGCCTTTCTGTTGATTTTTAATCAATCTTACAATGGTCACAGAAGTTTGCTTAGTTTCCATCCATATAAAGCCTTGAAGGCTCCTTCTGAACAAGGAGGGGGGAAGGGTATTATCTTAGGATTCGATTTTGCAGATTGTTGAGTCAAGGATATACACTTATAAAGTGTCCCCCAAATTACCGTTGCAACTTTTTCGAGGGTGCTATATCTTGTTGTAATTTGTAGCTGTCGTTGTTGCTGAATCTGATACCAAAGAAGCAGGGTATCTGATTAACTTGGTCAGTAGAGTTGTAATAGGGATGTTTTCTCGAATGACCCTGCATAAATAATCATTGTCGTCGGAGCCCTTAAGCTATTGCGTTAACCGATGGTTTTGTATCAATTGAACGATAGCTGAACAGCAAGGGTGAGTAGGTGTATTGATGGCCTATGAGTAATCATCCTTATTTTGTGCAATAGGCAGAAACAGAAAGATTTCCTTGGAAATAGTGTGCATACCTATCTATCAGGTCTTTCCTAAGTCACAGACTAGATAAAATGTCTTTTGGTCTGTATATATTTAGTCAGGCTGTGACCATGCTACCCCATGGTCCACACACCTCTCCTATTGCTGCTTGGCGAACTTTTGAGTCGGGTTTTACAAATGTTACCATTACAAATCCTGATTTGTTTTGTCCTTAAGAAAATTACATAAGACCTCCTCCACCAGTTACAGTTAGTCACATATAGTAGAACAGTAGCTAGGCTGTAGTTGGGGTGGTCAGCATGGCTTAATTGTGTAAGTATAAGATCTGGTCGGAATTAATGTTATTAACCTGGCATTATTTTCACTGTGGTTCTTTTTTCACTTCGCAAATACCTTTTTTTTTTTTTTTTTTTTTTTTTTTTGGGTTGTGTGTGTGTGTGTTTTTTTTTTTTTTTTTTTGGGGGAGGGGGGGTGATTGACTGATTGAGGGTGTTGGAGGGTGGTTGATATAAATCATCTGGTAAAGAACTAAAGACAAGAAAGAACAGAACGTGATTTTTGTGTGAGTTGAAGTTAGGTTAATGAATAGTTGAACTTAATTAGATGGAGAGGGGAGTCTATTCAATTCAAATGCTTATAAGAGGCATCTAGCAAATAAATTATCAGACTTAGATGAAGAATGTCGATTGTATGGGATGAAGAACATCACCATTGAAGTTACTATTCTTTTACTACACAAAAAATATGTACAGCCACAAGGGATAAAATGGAAAGAATAAAAGAGTGAGATGAGCTGGAAGACCAATACTAACAAGAATAAATATTCACATGAGTTAGGCTATAAGCTAAGGAGGACCTTAACTGAGTCAAGTAGATGACAAAGACATGAGGCATTGAGAGTTTTGAGACCCGCATTTTGTAGCTGTCACGAATGTAGTAAATCCATTATCTCACATGTTAGATGATTTAGCAGCAAATATTTTTTATTCATTGAAGTGACAACTTTATTCATTGAGGAGCATAGAAAAGTTAAGTACACAATACGTCAGAAATCTAAGTTGATCAACTTTAGGCATACAAATTCTTGATGATTAGTTTTGGATGTTGTTGCACTAACTTTATTGACTGCTAGTTTAGAATTTTAGTGGATCATCTGTAGAGAGAATCAAGTAGATCAAATGTAGGCATGCTGATGCTGTACTTTTGCATTTGTTTTTACTGTCATACTCGGTGATACATCATGGATTATTACTCAGTGATAATTTGGACTCCTAACAGATTTTCCTCAGTGCCCTTATAGTAGATGAGATAGATTACTGGTGTTTAATCTTGATATTGACTGTTTCTTGTGCATGACATAATTATACAAACTTAGGACTTCCCTTAAATCCTATACCGTTCTGCTGTTGATAAATAGGGCTTCAAAATGGTAGTAATTGACAAAAGATTTTAGGTGAGGCTAAGAAATGAAACTTTATCCTTTGATTATAATAAAAGTAAATTTATCAATGCCAATATGCTATGTTTCATTTTTACACTTACAAAGGGTAGCATATAGCATAATACCCAAGGTAAGCTGAAACTTGCTGTAGCTTGCACCAATGGCAATGGGATATTGGGATGGGAATTCTTTATAGATCCTAGTTCAGATTTTCATCTCTTGTTTTTTTGTTTTGATTTGTATGTATTTTGAAAGGCAAAACATATGGCCGCCTTAACTGACAATGAATTCTGCATTGTTGCATTACCAGATAGGAAGCCTGGACATCTAGGTGAAATGACTACTTTTTACAAAATCGGATGTGTTAGTAAGTGATGCAGTGGGGAGTGGGCTAAAAGTGTGAAAGTTTGAACAAATTGGGTGATAGAAGTGACAGTATACTTCTTATGTGAGTTAGTTTCTTGATAGACATATTCCAAGATTATGGTTAAGCAGGATAGTGTCCAATCTGTCCACTTCATGTCTTTGATAATATGGTAAGGTTGCAGTTTCTTATCGGAGTTATTGCAAATTTTCTTTATCTTTACCTAAGAACATATTTAGTATCCCACCAGCTTATTACACTGATAGGGAGTGACATGGCAATTATGAGCACTTCACTGACTTGTACACTCCCTTACCATTAGAGAGAAAGTAGGCTGCCAAGTTTGGCAGCTTGGCTACAGAATGACCTATCTTGGCTTAAAGAAAGCGAAACGAAGACAAAAATTATCAGTTGGATAAATGCAATCAATTATATGTGGTCTTCAGCTAGTGACACTTGTCGTTGCAAGTGGGCGAAAGAGCCCCCTTTTCAACACTGGGATGCCCCTGCGCCCATCCCTTCCCCACACACGCTCACTCACTCCGCCATTGCCCCACCCCAACCAACCTTTTGAACTTTTACATGTGAGACTCTCTGAAGTTAATTCGTACATGTAGCCATTAGTCAACAATTGTAGAAATGTCTATTCTATTAGCCAATTAGCTTAACTGGTGTACGTGGCAAGAGTAGACTTTTATTAGGAGTGGCCAACCTTTGGAAATGCCATTTGAAGAACTACAAACTTCCATCTTTTTGGTTAAAACTTTAAACTGAGAACAACTCATGATTTTTTTCAAGAGTTATGGTCTTAAGTTATATTGCCCAATCCTTAATTTTCCTACCATTTTTTGTTGTTTTCCTTTGTGACTGAGTGGCGATCACACTGAAGGGGCCACTCTGACATGATGGTACATATAATATCATCTTTTCTAAATGGTCCAATTATTGTGTGACAGTTGAGCAATTAACAAGGGCGAAATGTAGATAGTGTTATTATTTGAGTTGAACAATATGTTCATTAGAGGTCTTAAGGACACTTCGCCTATGTAAATTGCCTAACTAGTTTGGCAATTTCATTTCTGAATGCTTGGTTTTTAAATCCTGCATGATTTGTCCACTTGCATTTCTATTTCAGGCAATGATGCTGGAGTTCCTTGATATGGTTAAGTTATGCTTATGCTCTAAATTTTGTAACAGGTAAGACTAATGGACGAGGCTGGGTATGAGCTTGGTAATTTAGACGCCACCTTAATTCTTCAAAGACCTAAAGTTAGTCCACACAAAGAAGCAATCAAGGCCAACTTGTCTGCTCTGCTCGGGGTTGATCCCTCCGTCTTGAATCTGAAAGCAAAAACCCATGAGAAGGTTGATAGTCTCGGAGAAAATAGAAGTATTGCAGCTCATACTGTGGTTCTTTTGATGAAAAAGTAAAGGAACCATCGCGAACCACAAATAGAAGATCAACATCATTGTATTATTCTCTCATGTTGTAACCCATTGGAAAGTCTCATGTGTTAAGCCCTTTTGGTAGGTTCTTGGTGAAGATAACTTGCCAATTACCGTGTATAGCATTTTTACAGTTTAAACATTATTATCTCAACCTTCATTCAACGAAGGTTTGATGCATGCATGTATCAGTGTAATACTAACAGAGTATTGTGTATAGCATTTTAGCAGCTACATGTTTAAGTCTGTTACTGGTTTCCGGTTTCGGTTTCGTCCGACAAAAACTAGGATCAAATAGTAAACAGAGAGCCACCTGCCAAATTAGAAGACTAAAATTGATGTTGGGACACAATTTATCCAAACAAAGAGCTAATCTATGATTAAAATTCAACAACTTACGTGTATAATAAAAAAGAAGTTGACATTATTTAGGTGTATTTTTAAATTGGAATCTCACTTATTGCGTCACTTGTATGCATCCCACATATATTTTAATTTACTAATCTTGCTAATTGACCAAAATAATTAGTCGAGATAGACACAATTAATTATCATTGATTTTATTTTAATGTTGAAATTTTGCTGAAATGAATTATAAAGACATTATATCATAAATCAATTATCAATATATTCGCTTGAGCAAGTAAATGTCAAACATAAGAAGTTATAACATCTTGAAAAGTCAAATGTGTGATTGTATTCTTGTGGGGGGGCATGTGAAATGAAATGGAGTTAAGCTAGATTTCAAACCATGTTTCGATATGTACACATCTTTAATTATAGTCATTTTTGGTGATAAACAAGTACATGTTGATGTTGGACTGACATAACTTTAAGCAACATTTGACTCATTATCTCCGATTCTACTCGATGCAATCTAATTGAAATTTCATGACAAGTTTCAAGCTACATGTAATGGGTGTAATTTTACAGTTTTATATTTACCGGCCTATGTGCTCATTTCTGTGTGTAGAATGAACACCGCCCTTTAAGATGACTTATAATATTCGCTAGTTCAGTTTCACAAATTATCAGATATTTAACACTTATGGACTTATCAATTCAAAAAATGTTTCTTAATTACTTCCTATAAATCAAATATGGACTGTTAAATGTCAGTGAGAAACTCTCCATCTCATGGTCTTAGTGTCTTACTACACTTTGGATAACAAGTATGAAAATATTAGCTATTCATTGCCAACCATACGCCCCGAAGTTTAGGCCTACAAATCCTACAATTATCTACTGTATATGCCAGCAATTGTATATGAAGTACTCTGTTGTCTTTGTATATCATAATCTAGGCCAAGCACAAACTCACGTCAGAGGAGAATATAAAGTTTCTAAAAACAGTTGTGATACATGGAGTAGTAATCCTCCTACATTATTTTATACGGAATATGAGACAATTAATATCAACTCACGTATGGATTAGATCCCTATTAGCAAATGAGACAATTTAATTAAACATTGCTAAATTAAAATATTTATAAAACAGTATATATCATCCATTGCATTATTTGCATGTCAAAGTAGTAGTACTAGTACACTAGTATAAAATGTTAGTGCGACAATAACTGCTGTGCATGATAAATGTTAGTTTGAATGAGTAAGCCTTAAAGCATATTAATGGTGCTCTATTAACTTTTAAGCCGTGTCATCTGCGTGGCTTAAATGAACATAAATTTGGCCAATTTCGTTCAAATACCCTTTTTTTGTTTTGTATTGTGAGATTTGTGACCCTACAAAAGTGACGTGAATTGACTTGTAAATGTGTGTGTCCCAACAAGCTTATCAATGGGTTAGCTCCCAAACAACCCACTTAAAGTTTTGTCATCGAATGTATTTTTTATGCGACGTGTGAAGAGATAATGCCAAGTTTCTCCTACACGTACATATACCAAGTACAACGACTCAAAAGTTTTATGTATGATTTCCTGTAATATACACCTTAGACATGTAACATTAACCACCATCCACGTTTGTACTATAAGCCTAACCCTGGTAAGAACGACAGAAGAGTGGTATCACTAGCTTAGTATGAATCTAATGGTATGGCCGGAGAAAAGGTACCGACCAAAATTATCAAAAATCATGGTTCAATTTTGAAGTAAAAGGAGCTTTCAGAATTTAATTGTAAAATCGAAATAATTGACAATATATATGCTTAATGTATTAATGTTTTTTTTTTAATGTATTAATGTTTTTTAAGCATATTTTTGATTTGTAAAATTTTCACTAGTTAAGAGAAATACGTTAAATCGTACGACTGTACATGAATTATAAATGGCAAAAATTATAAGATTTGAGTCCTAATTTTGATAACTATGGTACTAACAACTTATTCAGTTCTTCAAGGGTATTGAAAAAAAAAAGGGTGAGAAAAAGGAGGAAGTGAAGGAAAAAGAAAATATTGGAATGTAACTAGAATTGCGGTTTGTTTGTTTGTTTTAAAAGGTAGCTAGCTAACTAGGAATTGAAATTATAATTGGGTAATTGGTTGGTTTATTATAAAGGATATGATAACATAAACCTAATTATCTAATGTTAATAATATATTCTTACTATACTATCTTATTTTTAAAAAATACGAAAGTATTAAAGAAAAAAGATACTATGTACTTCACATGTATTAAAGATAGCTATCTTTTCATATCAATTATGATATACCAAATGTTTCCTAAATCAACCATGAGAAAATTTTTATTTACTTTTCAATCTTTTATTTTCCATCCACCTTCTTGCTATCAAGCTAAGCAAGTTGTAAAAGTTGATGAGTCATTACACAACCATTAATAAAAATCACCGATCTTATGAGACGTGGTATAAGTCAAGATTATGAGAGATAAAAGACTTATATACCAATGTTTCATACTATCTTAAAAGTTAGTATTGTACTATAGTCTCCCTAGATCAGCTGGCCATAATATGGACCATTTTGAAACAAAAGGATACCTAGCTTCAACTCTTCAAAAGAATATTACGTGAAAAAACAAAAACAAAAAAATCTTTCCTACTAAACCCTATCTCCCGTTGCGATATAAAGCCATAAAAAACCCTTCTCTCTTGTAAATTTCATTGTATTGCACTACTGGTGACCTTAATTCGTCAGCAATAACGCAATGTTACAATAATAATAATAATAATAATAATAATAATAATAATAAAAAAAAAAAAAGGAATATATTGAATTAAAAAATTGTTTTATGTGTGATGTGACATAATGATAATATATGCACCTCCAGAAGGACTATATATAATACTTCATATATCGTATATTTCTTCTAGTCAAAAGAGCTTCTGGATTTTGCTGAAGAGCAATATCAAAGCATATGCTTATTATATTAGCAAGTAGCAATTGCTATTTGGTTTTGGATGATATGTCCATTTTTTATTAGCTGTATTTCAGGGTGAGAATTCCCTTACCTTTTCTTTCTTTCATGTAGAGGGCCTTGCCTACTAATTCAGATTGAGTTTACATACACAAGGTTTTAAATATAATTGATCCGATAGAAGAACACCTGCTTCATTCCTACCAAAAAAATGTTTATATTGCTATACATATAATATAATGTTAATAATTTATATAAAAGCAACATTTATTTAAAGGAAAGATACATGAATACTATTAGGTGAAATTAGGTCTATGTTCTCTCGAAACTAAATAAGACCAAATCTGATCTATTATAGTTAAGAAAATAGAGAAATTAACTCGTACTACTGATCTGTATCTAAAAAAGGGTTTATTTGCTGATGACGATTTGTCTAATGAGTCGGCAAGGCTATATAATCTGCAGCGCTATTAGCTTTTCTATAGATGTGTTTAATAACTAAAAGGACCAAAACTTTTGAAACAAGATCTCCTTGCCTTTATCCTTTTCCAGTTGAATTTTCTACATATATAAAAGATGCTTGGATTTGTAAAGTTACATGAACGCAGTTGAGCATGCACTATGGCTGACTTCCTTTTGTGTCGTCAAACACTACCCTGTGAAAAATTAAAAATTGAAAAGAAGAGTTAAGTAGAAGACTGAGTAGGGGAAGTACGACTTTTTATTTTGGGTGTTACACTATATATTACTGTATTAGATACGCAAAGTCTGCTAAAAATGGTCGACGTTTATAGGTTGAATTTGAAGTCTTAGACTAAAATTGCTTACCAAGGAATATTTCATCTTTGACAAGCAAATTAAAATTGGCCTCCCATGTGCATATTGACCTTCTACATGCATATTTTCTCATGCATATAATTTTCATATTATGCTAGCTTTTATGTTTTATTATTAAACGGTAAACTTTCTATTAGTATAATTCAAATTGTGGATATACTTTTTTCAATGCTTGTTCAAAGTGCGGTCTAAATCGCAAACTAAACCGCAATTTGCGATTTGGTGCGGTTTACGGTTTAAAATTTGTGGTGTGGTTTCCGAAAATAACCAAACCGCTTTAAAAAAATTTAGACCAAATCGCACCGCAAACCGCACTTTGATACGGTTTGCGGTTTACACCGTTAAACCGCAAACCTTGAAACCATTTTTTATCAAAAAATATATAAAAAAAAAAAAAAAAAACTTGAAAATATGATGTAATCTTTGACTATTAAGTAATTAATGGTTAAATAAAAACTTTAATATTCAAATTATAGGATTATAATCACAAAACAAAGTAAAAGTTTTTTTTTTTAAAAAAATATTTATAATTTTAAAAAATTGAGGTCAAACCGCAAACCGCACCGCAACAAATCACATTTTGTAGTGCGATTTGGTTATAAATGCGATTTGGCACAATTTGGAGAAAATGCAAATCGTAATTTTACGATTTGATACGGTTTGGGATCCAAACCGCACCGCAAACAACCCTACTTATATGAGCTCCACCTTCAACGGTGAACTTAATTGACAAGCAGTTGTTGAATGCGGTAATCTGGTTTGTTAGGTTATTTGTATGTATTAGATATTTATATATGCTGATTGATGTTGTTTCTTGTTTGAATTAGCTAATAAAATTAGTCATTATGTGTTTGGTGAAAGTCAGTATTTGATTGTTACCCTATAAAATTACCAACTTTGTTATGGATAAAAAGCCAAAACCAATTCTCAAAAAGCTAGTAGTCAAACTAAAACTTTTTTCTTTTAAATCAAATTAAACATAATTTTAGTTTTGGGGTATTTGGTTGAAAAACATTCCGAGTGAATAGAGCTAGAGTTTTTAAACAAATTAAGGTATGCCTAGTCCAAAACCCCCAATAAGAATGTTTGGTTAAGACAAAATTTATATAGAGGTTTGGGTTCAAAAGATAGATTAATTTTGAGAAACCTAGTTGAAAGAGATTTTTAGTAAATAGGTGTGTTTATAGTCGTGAAGTAATCCATTTGTTTCTGAATTAAAGTTGATAAAATTTACTACTCCATATTTCTTAACGAAGAGTTCTCCTCAACCAGCAATAATAAATTATCCCAATAACCTTGTGATTCCACTTTACACATTATACATATATACGTAGTACATAAGAAAAAGAATAATAAAAAATAAATCTCTACCACGTTATTACTCCATCCGTTTCGCATTAGTTGCAACACTTTTCATTTTCGGTCATTTCATATTAATTGCAACACTACTATATTTGGAAATCATCCACTGTTATGAAATATTAAATGTGGATGACTATTATCCCATGTATTATCTAGAATATTCTAGAGTTGGGTATTTGATTTTATCCGATGATGGAACCCTAGATAATATACATGTATATAAATAATAAACCGATCTATTCTCTCTCTATCTCTCATATTTTCTCCTTATTTTATAACACGTTATCAGCACCATTGCTCTAGATTGATTTCAATATCAATTGAAGCATCTCAAACAACAATCAAAGTAACTACCAACATACTCTCAAATTTTTCCCCAATACTGCTACCTCTTGATTTCACGAACACCAACCAAAAAAGTAATTTCCCAAACCCCTCTGTCGAAACCACCGTTGCTCTGCCGATACCACCGATTCTTGTTCGTTGGGCTTGTTTGTACTCGTTCTTGCACTCTAATTTTAAGGTAACTAGTACTATCTCTTAGATTAGATTTCACCTAGTTTAGAATGCATGATTTAGGCTTACCTTGTATAAAATCGGTTTTTAATTTGACGAAATTATGGACTGTTTCCCCCCTACCGATTTTACGCGACTTATGTGCATCATGAGCCTGCTATCTTCCAGTTTCTTGTCTAATTTTCAAGAATCAAAATCCATGTATAAATTATGATCATTGTAGTAGATAGCTATTTGTGCATTTCGGTTTCGTGGTGTATTTATATCACTTGGATTTGATGATTTCATGGGGTTTATGTGAAACAGGGAGTTGACTTTCATAACTTATAATGATTAAATTAGTTGCTTGAATCTTAGTTTAATTGGGTCATGGTTTTAATTGATATAATTGGTGTTTTGTGAAGTATAGAACGGTTTCCAGGAGTAATATAGAGTGAGTTGTTGCCTGCAATTTGTGTGAAAATAGCATTGGATTATTACTCTGATTATCACTTTAAATATCATGCTAGGATTTTGTTTGTGTTCTTATTGATAAGTAAGAATTAGTCAATAATTAGTTATCTAGTTCCTGGCTATTGTCTTCTATGAACCAATTTGTTGATTGATGACTGATGTTAGCTATGTTATCATTAGCAACTCTAAGTGTTGATATTTGTGGAAAATTGTTGATATTGCAATTAGTAGAAGCACAATCTATTATAACATGCTTCTGTGTATTTGTGAGTTTAGCCAATCTTATTTTCATCACAATTAAAATAAAATAAAAACTTAGGGAAAAACTTAATAGATAAGAGAGATCACCGAAAAGATCAAGAAGATTAAAGGCTAAAGTAGTTGAACTAAATACTAGTCTTAGCTTCTGCAAGTTGATTGATGAAGTTCCTAATTTATAATATTCTTAATAAACTCTCTTTTTGTTTTTAATAATATGGACTGCCAATATTTATATATATGTTATAATTTCATCTTAGTTCCTAATTTATAATATTGTTTTATATATCAGTGAATCATGTCAAATCTTGCAAAACTCGAATTTGTTGCTCTTGATATTACTGCAAACAATTATCTGTCTTGGGTGTTAGATGCTGAAATACACTTAGATGCAAAGGGACTTGGTGATACTATTAAAGAAAACAATACTGCAACAAGCCAAGATAAGGCTAAAGCTATGATATTCCTTCGCCATCACCTTCATGAAGGCCTTAAGACTGAGTACTTGACTGTTAAAGACCCACAAGTCCTTTGGAGTAATCTAAAGGAAAGGTATGACCACCAGAAAACTGTGATATTACCAAAGGCTCGTTATGACTGGTTACATTTAACATTATAAGACTTTAAGTCTGTGAGTGAATACAACTCAGCCATGTTTAGAATTACATCACAATTGAAATTATGTGGAGAGAAAATCACGGATGCAGAAATGTTAGAAAAAACATATTCTACTTTTCATGCAAACAATGTTGTCCTGCAGACACAATACCGTGAAAAGGGTTTTACAAAATATTCTGATTTGATATCTTGTCTCCTTGTGCCTGAGCAAAATAATGAATTATTAATGAAAAATCATGAATCACGCCCAACTGGCTCTACTCCATTCCCTGAAGCGAATGCGACATCCCATAGTGGGAAAGGGCAAAAGGCTAGAGATCACGCCAGCAGTCGTGGTCGAGGCCGTGGTCGAGGTCGTGGTCGCGGCCGCGGACGTGGACATGATCGTGGTCGAGGTGGTCATTTTAAGAACTCATACTCTCACCAGAAGTGGGACAATAAAAATGGAAATAAGAATGAGAAGGATAAATATGAAAATATATGCTACCGTTGTGGAGGAAAAGACCATTGGTCTCGTGTGTGTCGTACACCAAAACATCTAGTAGACCTTTATCAACAATCAATCAAACAGAAAGGAAAGAAAGTGGAAACAAATTTGGTGTACGAGGATGGCGAAGGTGATTTTGATTACGGTGATACAACTCACCTGGAAGCGGCTGATTTCTTTCCTAATCCTGAAGAAAATAATTGAATAAATTATGTCCCATTGGCGAATAAACTCTGTTAATTAGCTTGCATTTATTATAGAATTTTATCGTAGTACTATGACTATATGCTTTATGGAACATTTGTTTTCGGACAATTTTATGTTTTTGGACATTTTATGTTTCGCATATTTTATTATTTAATTTAAGTTATTTGATTTAGTGAATCTTATTTTAGTTCCTTTAATTCTATTAGAATATGAATCCCTTTGGAGCTCAATCATCGACCAATGGTGAAGATTTATGTCTAGTTGATAGTGTTACCACTCACACCATACTTAAAGAAAAGAAATATTTTTCACAATTGGTGATGAAAGAGATTAGTGTGAGTACTATATTAGGTAGTACAAGAATTATAGAAGGCTCCGGAAGAGCAAATGTATTATTGCCAGGGGAACAAAATTGGAAATTATCGATGCATTATACTCCCCTAAGTCTCAAAGAAATTTACTAAGTTTTAAAGATATTCGAAAAAATGGATATCATATTGAGACAATTAGTGAAGGAAATAATGAATTCCTTCAAATCACAAGTATAACTCAAGGCAATAAACTTATTATGGAGAAATTACCTACATTCTCTACTAGTTTGTACTATACAAAAATTGATACAATTGAATCACATGCTATAGTAAACCAGAAGTTTACTGATGGGACTTCAAAGTTTGGCATGATCGGTTAGGCCATCCCGGTTCAATAATGATGCGAAAAATAATCAAAGATTCATGTGGACACTCATTGAAGAGCCAGCAGATTCTTCATAATAATTTTTCATGTGCTGCTTGCTCAATAGGCAAGTTAATACTCCGGCCATCACCAGCTAAAATAAATTCCGAATCAATTACTTTTCTAGAACGTATACAAGGGGATATATGTGGACCAATTCATCCCCCGTGTGGGCCATTTATATATTTCATGATTTTAATAGATGCATCAACTAGATGGTCACACGTATCATTGTTATCAACACGCAACCTGGCGTTTGCGAGACTACTTGCTCATTTCATCAGATTACGAGCACATTTTCCAGACTTTCCTATTAAATCTATTCGTCTTGATAACGCTAGTGAATTCACATCCCAGGCCTTTGATGAATATTGCATGTCAATCGGGATTAGTGTTGAACATCCTGTAGCACATGTTCACACACAAAATGGTCTTGCGAAATCGTTAATTAAACGTTTACAATTGATTGCTAGACCATTACTTATGAAATCTAAACTCCCAATCTCTGCTTGGGGGCATGCTATATTACATGCAGCAGCACTAATTCGCATCAGGCCGACAAGTCATCATAAGTTCTCCCCATCACAACTGATTTTTGGTCAGGAACCAAATGTATCCCATTTGAGAATATTTGGATGTGCAGTATATGTTCCAATTGCTCCACCACAACGCACTAAAATGGGCCCTCAAAGAAGACTAGGGATATATGTTGGATATGAATCTCCATCGATAATTAAGTACCTAGAGCCAACGACAGGAGATTTATTTACGGCTCGTTTTGCAGATTGTCGTTTTGATGAATCAGTTTTTCCAACATTAGGGGGAGAAAATAAACAGCTGCAAAAGGAGATTAGTTGGAATGAATTATCATTATCTCATCTAGATCCTCGTACCAAACAATGTGAATTGGAAGTCCAAAAGATAATTCATTTACAAAACTTAGCAAATCAATTGCCAGACTCATTTGCTGACCCAAAGAAAGTGACAAAGTCACATATACCAGCTGAAAATGCTCCAATTAAAATTGATGTCCCAGAAGGACAAGTCCAAGTTGCAAATGATTTTAAAACACGCCTGAAGCGTGGTAGACCCATCGGTTCCAAAGATAAAAACCCTCGGAAGAGAAAAGGAGCAACCATTGACAATGGCCAGACCGAGGAAGCTATAAATTTTGAAGGATCTCCAGAAGAGACCTTGGACATGATGGAAAAGGATATTCAGGTACCTGACAATGAAGAAATTTCAACAAATTTCATCATGTCTGGAATTACATGGAACCGAAACCAAATCGACGTCGATGATGTTTTTGCATGCAATGTAGCATTAGATGTCATAAATGATGATGAGGATCATGAGCCAAAATCCATTGATGAATGTAGACAAAGAAGTGATTGGAAAAAATGGAAAGAAGCAATTGAAATTGAATTGAAATCTCTCGAAAAAAGAGTAGTATTCGGACCTGTAGTCCGTACACCTGAAGGTGTAATACCAGTGGGATATAAATGGGTCTTTGTACGAAAAAGAAATGAAAATGGTGATATTATAAGATACAAGGCCCGATTAGTTGCACAAGGATTCTCACAAAGACCCGGTATTGATTATGAGGAGACATACTCTCCCGTGGTGGATGCAACTACTTTTAGATTTCTAATCAGTCTGGCAATAAGAGAAGGACTTGATTTACGCTTGATGGATGTAGTCACAGCTTACTTATATGGCCCACTGGATAATGACATATACATGAAACTCCCAGAAGGATTTAAACTGCCAAAAGCAGCAAATGGAAGTTCTTGAGAACAGTACTTAATAAAATTGAATAGTTCTCTATATGGATTGAAACAATCAGGGCGCATGTGGTATAATCGACTAAGTGAGTACTTGTTGAAAGAAGGGTATAAGAATGACCCTATATGCCGATGCATTTTTATAAAGAGATTTGTATCAGGATATGTCATAATTGCAGTATATGTTGATGATTTAAATATTATTGGAACTCCTGAAGAGATTTCAATAACAATGGAGTGCTTAAAGAAAGAATTTGAAATGAAAGATCTTGGAAAAACTAAATTTTGCTTAGGGTTACAAATTGAACATATAAAGAATGGAATCCTTGTGCACCAGTCAACATACATAGAAAAGGTGCTTAAAAGATTTTCTATGGATACAGCACATCCATTGAGTAGCCCTATGGTTGTTAGAGCACTTGATGTAGAAAAAGATCCCTTCCGACCTCGGGAGAATGACAAAGAAATTCTTGGTCCTGAAGTACCATATTTAAGTGCAATAGGGGCATTAATGTATCTTTCTAGTCATACACGACCCGACATATCATTTTCAGTAAATTTGTTAGCAAGATTTAGCTCATGTCCTACCCGAAGGCATTGGAATGGGGTTAAACATGTACTTCGTTACCTTCAAGGTACGAAAGATATGGGTTTATTTTTCTCTAACCTATCCAAAGAAGGTTTGATTGGTTTTGCAGATGCAGGGTATATGTCAGATCCTCATAATGCTAGATCACAAACTGGATATGTGTTTATGTGTGGAGGTACTTCTATTTCTTGGCGTTCTATGAAACAAACAATTGCAGCTACTTCTTCTAACCATGCAGAAATTTTGGCAATCCATGAGGCTAGTCGTGAATGTGTATGGTTAAGGTCTGTAATTCAACATATACAGACAGATTGTGGCATAAACTCCGAGAAAGAAGTTCCAACAACTTTATATGAGGATAATGCAGCATGCATCGCCCAGCTTAAGGAAGGGTATATCAAAGGTGATCGAACAAAGCACATTTTACCAAAATTCTTCTACACTCATGATCTACAGAAGAATGGTGATATAAAAGTCCTTAAGATTCGCTCGAGTGAAAACTTGGCAGATTTGTTTACTAAGGCGCTCCCAACCGCCACATTCAAAAAGTTAGCTTACGGCATTGGATTGCGTCGTCTTAAAGATCTCAAGTGATGTAGTCATGAGGGGGAGTTAATGCGCGCTGCACTCTTTTTTCCTTAACCATGGTTTTTTCCCACTGGGTTTTCCTGGTAAGGTTTTTAACGAGGCAGCATCTTATGCGCATTACAAATTATTTTGTACGGGTTTTTTTAGTAAGTTTTAGTTATCGTTTTATAGTCATCCAAGGGGAGTGTTATGAAATATTAAATGTGGATGACTATTATCCCATGTATTATCTAGAATATTCTAGAGTTGGGTATTTGATTTTATCCGATGATGGAACCCTAGATAATATACATGTATATATATCCCCACTCTATGGAATAATAAACCGATCTATTCTCTCTCTATCTCTCATATTTTCTCCTTATTTTATAACACCATTATTTTATAATTTCTCTCTCCCACTAACCCCACTTTCACAAATATTTTATTATTTCTCTTTCCTACTAACCCCATCCACACTACTTTTTTTTATTTTTTCTCTCTCTTATTAACAATATTTTATATTATAAAACAAGATTAGTCTTAGGTTTTAAGACTATACATGACATCAGCAAATCACTTTTAAACTGTCTTAAGACAAGACTTCACAAAATTTATGCATTTATGAAGCAAAGTCTTAACAAAGTCTTGAATGGTGTCATGAAAATTCCAGACCCAACTTAAAATTTATTTTAATACTTTATACACTGCATTTTGCCTATGTACATATACTATCGTTAACAATAATTTGATTTCATTTTATTGAAAAAAAAATGTAAAGTGTAAATTTAATTACAATTGACTTTTGTATTTATTTTTATTGATAAAATTGTTTGTTGTATTTAAATATAAAGTATTCCTTTATTTGCTATTTTTTGTTGTATTTTAATCTAAAGTATTCTATTATTTGCTATTATTTTCATCAACAAATATAAATTATAAGAAAATGTAAATTTTACGACTATGGTATTATGTATATGTATCGATCACAATATTCATGTAATTTCACTAATTTTGTATCTATTAGGGGTTTGATATTATTTTTTAGCTACGTGCTTATGTAAGATACGTAACTTATGACACCATTGTAAATTATATTATTAAAATATCTTATATAAAAAAGGAAAATAAAAATAGTACGTATATTTGAGAAATCTTAAATGCGTTTGAGGAATGAAGATCTAAATTTAGTTGAATCTTATAGAATCTTAACATAATTATAAATTATTAAAATTATTAAAATATGATGTGGCATGGGAAAAAAAATCTTAAGACAAGACAGGGCTAATTTTACTCTAAGCCTATAAGCCTAGTCTATAATTTTCTTATACTATGAGCCAAGCCAACTGTTACAATTAATGCGAAATGGAGGGAGTACTAAATACTTGTACTAAATATACACTATACACAATGAGTTTTTCAAATCAGCTAACGACTAACACAATCATCTAAGATTATTAAACTGCTAATTTTCGAAGATGGACATTTGTTTTTCTATTAAAAATGATCAGAGATTCAGAGCTAAAAGCTGATAAAAAATTTGTTAAAAACTATCTACTTAAAAAGGACAACGTTGAACTGTGGAATTTGGAGATAAGGGAGGGTAGATATGTGGTAGGGATTTATTTTGAACTGTGGAATTTGCAGTATAAAATAACCTAAATGCAGGAATAAACATAAATAAAAAATAAATAAATAAAAAAAAAACTTAAATATGATAAAGACTATACCACCCTTTTTAAAACCCAATCTAATTTCATTCTCCTTTCTTAATAAGAAGCTAACTCCCTTCATCTCATATTCTTCAATCTCCATTGTACATACAGAGTACATTACAACTAAAAACAAGCTTAAAAGCTTCCTGTTGCTCAATTTCTAAAAGTCTCATCTTTGGTTATTTGATAATTAGATGACGCAAAGTAGAAGCAAGCTGTTATAAAAATGTTATGGCAGAAAAAAGAGAAGCCAAATAATTAATCCCCATAATTGTGTGTATGTTCTTTGTGTTTTCGATTTTAAAGTTAGATTTTTAAACAATTAATTCAACTCCATCATCTGGCAATATAACGAAGATGAAAAAAAGTTATACTAGTAAACCTAAAAAATGGGAAATTCCCCGTTTTTCCATAGAGAAACGAAATTTGTTTTTCATAGGGGCATTTTCGTGAATAAATTAACAACTTTTAAATTATTGTAGGCTCCACAATTGAATAAAGTTGAATAAAGTTCGTTGTTGGTTTATTTACAAAAATGACAGGTGAGAAACAAATTTTGTTTCTCCTTATGAGAAACTGGGGCTCCCTCCTAAAAAATCATCAGGCGTGAGATGTTCATTCCACTTAAATTGAAAATATAGTCAGTGGTAGGCAGTAGAGGGCCCCGGAAGTTAACTCCGGTAGGTAGTCTAGGGCCCCGAAAATTAAATCTGGTAGGTAGTAAAGGGCCCCAGATTCATATTCCGGTAGGCAGTGAGGAGGCTCGGAAATCATAGCCGGCGGTATTAAGCTGAAAGCCTTAGAAATATTTTACGAACGGCGTTGAATCTGGGTATCGAAAAGGTTAGTAATAATATGGCTTTGTTATTGAAAATATAAGGAATAATCGGATTTAAGCGTCGTGTTTGTCGATCTAGGTTCATGTAAAGTATCTTAGATTTGTTTGTTGAGGATGAAAGGTTGAAGATTGAAGGCTAGATATGTCTCCAAGTTAAAATTTATGGGTAATTACATAGTTGTCTAAAACAAGGATAAAAAAATTTAGGGAAATTTTCTTTGGTAACACTCAACTTTCATTTTTTCTCTTTGGTAAATCGCAAGGATTTCAATTCTCTTTAGTAATCTTGTATAATTAGTTTTATTACTAATATATTAATGATTATTTTTTATTAAAGTTTTAACTATAGTTAGAGTTGTTTGGTTAATTTAATTATTTTTTAATGATGATAGATTTTGTTTTTTTAAAAAGAAAACCAAACCCCTCCCCCACCCCACCTAGCCACCAGCAGCCCCCCTGCCGGCGGCTAGGCGCCCCACCATCGACCGCACTAACCACCACGAAAACCGGCCCCCTTCCCCGACGAACCCCTTTACACTGTCAAACCCCAAACACATTTCCATACTCCACCGAAGATGAAACTCCATCGATCAATACTCGCACTGGTTGCCACTAAACCTGTTCAATGGGTCGGGCCGGGCCAAGCCTAATCTAAAATGGGCCGAGCTTGTCCATGGGCTATTAAGCCCAGCCCGGCCCATTCAAAATGTATAAACAAACTACAACAACCATGAAGTAAACACAATATAAGAGAATTATAAAGGGCCTTTAAGGAGCCTTATAAAGGGCCTTAGCCAACAAGTTAAAAGTAGAGAGCTGAGCAATGTTCTTGTCACAAATTTGTTACAATCAAGTAACTAAGCAATGTTCTTGACACAAATTAGACACGCAAATTTGTTACAGTCAAGTGACTCACTAGAGACTAATCACAGCATACACAACTTCCCGCACAAAATAGCAATTATCGACCACTTAAGGCAGTAATCGAAACAGGATTTACAGAGCCATTATCACGATCATATATTTGGGTTGAAGCAGCCAACCATTGAGCTTGGAAAACGCATCATCAATGTAATCAAAGGCAACACCTGATACCGATGACAAAGAAAATTGTAAAAGCCATACAAAATCAGCCCCTAAGATGGGATAATGACATAAAGTCATAGTAAAATTCAAGTGTAATACTCAAGTATTTCATCAAACATGTAATACTCAATACAAATCTCTAGCTGAATCCCAACAAAAAATACTTCTCTTCGGCATTTATACCAAGAAAAACAACAAGATTTGTATTACCTAGTGTAGGAAACTATCATCAACCTCATCATCATCATCATCTCCATCACCAACGGCCTCATCATCATCCGAGCTAGAATCACGATTCAAATTTGAAGGGATGCTATATTCATCATGGCGCAAATCTTGAACACAAACTAGGGTTTGAACCGTTGAGGGTTTCAATGAGCTACGATTAGGAGATATAGTTTTCCCCCCTACACTAAAAGCCGACTCGGAAGCCACCGTACTAACCGGAATCGTTAGAAGATCTCGTGCCAATATTGCAAGCTCCGGAAATCTCACTACATTTTGTTGCCAATACTCTAGAATATCCAGCTCCATGTTCAAATCAAGCTCTGATTCTTCCATATATGACTCAAGTTGGGACTTTTTTGTTTGAGTCCTTGTAATTCTTGAACTATAGCTTTGATAATCATCAAAGAAGTTTTCATCTTCAATCCTACTACTTGTAGTAGAGGGAGCAACAATTGGGGAAGTTGAAAATGTTGACTTATACTCATTATACAAAGATCTTAAAGTGTTCGACACTTTTTCAACTTTATACATAGCCTCATACGAACCATATATCTTGTCAAAACAATACTCCACAAACTTTAACTTAAACCTTGGGTCAAGAATTGCCGCACAAGCTAGATATATGTTATACTCGGACCAATATTTGTCAAATTTTTCCAACATAGGTAACACCATTTGAGCTAAAAACTCATGTGGACCTTTAGATGTCTCAAGTAAACGACGATGCACCATACATGCTCCCTTAAAATACATGTTAGAAGTTGGAGACTTATTGGTCGAGAACATACATGTAACATCATAAAAGAGTTTCAAAAACTTGTGAGCAACACTCAATTTATCCCAATCATCCTCCAACGGCACATTACTCTTGAAAGATGCATGTAATGACCCCAAATGAATAAACACATCTTTATAGTAAAGCACATTATCAAGCATCATATATGTAGAGTTCCAACAAACTGCATGTTCATACGAAGTTTCCTCTTAGCCTCTAAATGAAAATGCTTTTGAGCGGTATCATAAAAATCCTTACTTCTAGAAGATGATCTTATAACAAATTTTACAAAGTTTCTAATCCTATCTAATATGTTCTCAATACAAGATAGACCGGATTGGACAATAAAATTGATGATATATATGAGCACAACATCTAATATGAAAAAAACAACCACCACTAACCAACATTCCCCTTGATCTAAGACGATTTTTCAAGTGCTTAACCATCACATTATTGTAACTTGCATTGTCAACCGTTAAGCTAAGCACTTTGTCATCTAAATGTCATTGGTTAAGAAACACAAAAATCTATTCGGAGATGCTTTGTCCATCAAAAGGGGGTGACAATGATGTGAACTTAATGATCCTTTTATGAAGTTTCCAATCATGATCAACAAAATGGGCACTTATGCAAATGTAATATTGCCAAGTGTGTGATGATTTCCAATTATCAATTGTCAAACATATTCATCCGGGTGCACTCCTCAATTTTTTTTTAATTTCTCTCTATAAGAGGCATACAAAGAAAAAAGGTCTCTAGTTAAAGTTGTTCGACTAAATGGTTTAAATTTAGGATTAGACTTTAACATCATCCGCCTAAAACCTTTTTCTTCCACGATCGAAAAAGAATGAGAACCTTCAACAAAATACAATAAAATCTCCTTTCTTAATTCACTCATATCAAAAACAAATTCTTCCTCAACATCAACCGCCTCCCCAAGTGGAAGTCCATTAGTTCGTTTTTTTACACACTTCAAGCAAATGATGACGTATTAAATGAAATGTGCCACTATTTTTGTGGGCAATTAACTCCACTTTACAATGCTTACAAATAGCAATTCGCTCACCTTTTGCATTCTTTCCTTCCGTCATTTCTTGCCAAACTTTAGATTTCCTACTCCTTTTACGCTTACGGGCGGCATTAGATTCATCAACCTCATCATCTACCGGCATTGATGTTGTAGTTGCTTCACTTTCCATGATTAAAAAAAACTGCAAAAGTAGGTAAATAATAATAACTATTAATAATTATTGATCCAAAAAACAAATTTTACCAAATAATACAAATGTTAGGTTGGTTAGCAAATCATACAAATAAACCAAACTTTGGTACAGCCTACAGAAACTATATAAAATAGGGCAATAGGGCAATCATAATTTGGGAAATTTAGAGATAGAAACAAGTAGGAAATCCATAATCTATCTAACATTGCCTCTACATTACTTGAATAATTAAAACTCCCGAAAACTTCCAAAGATAGCAATACTAACCTCAGCAACAAATTGACAAAAAAATCAACAAATTTAGAGCAAGGATTTCGAGAATCAACAAATTCTTACAAAATCAAAAGGTTAATCACATAATTTTGCGCCAAAATTAGTAGAATTGCAAAAATTTACCAAAGTCGATACTTGAACAACTAGCGATTTGACCGACTTCGAGCAATGATTTGGAGCAACAATGTGTGAAATCTGAACGTCTATTTGGAGCGAAGAATTAGAGTAGCAATTTTTGAGAATCAGAGCGAAGAATTCAAATAGCGATTCGAGTAGAACTCGAGTAGGAAAAAAAATTTAGGGTTCATACATTTTTGCTGGTGAATAAGAAGAGAGAGAAAACGTTTAATTTTTTATTTTTGGGGGAAATTGGGAATTTTTTAGGGTTCATAATTTGGGGAAAATTGGGAATTTTTATTTTCAAGATATTATAATTTGATGTTAGGAAGTTTTAGGAACAAAAAAATTAGGATAAAAAAAGCCTCATAAGAGTTACCCAATTTCAGTCATTTTTAACTTAGACCCAACCCTTTAAAAGCCCATTATTAATAACCCTTTAAAAGCCTGCCCCATTTAAATATTCGATGGATAAAACCCTTTTATAAAAGGGTTGGGTCATGGCTTTAAATGGGCCCCTAACCCCATTGGACAGGTCTAGTTGTCACCATCGCATGCGTCGCAGTCGTGGGAGAAGCGCGTTGCCATCACACACTCGCTGATGACAGCGATGAGGCCGAGACGATGAGCGATGAACTCGTCGTTGAGAACGGAGGAATTGACATCGATTTTAACGAGATCGATGGCGATGGTTGGCACTTCGGCGATCATTACGCGGCGAAGAACATTAGCGACGCTTGAATCGGTTTTCTAGAGCTCGAATTTCATGATCGTCTCGCATTTCTCGGATATTGATTTGGAGGAAACGCTGGTAGGAGATTCACTCCATTGCTAGGGTTTCGAAGGTTTTTTATTGCAGGGGTTTTTTGAGGGAGAGAGTGTGAGAAAGCGGAGTTAAAACCCTTTGCCTAAGTGTTTGGGGTTTGTCGGTATGAGGGGGGGTCGGTTTCATGGTGTTAGTGCGGTCGATGGTGAGGGGCCTAGCCGCTGGCAGGGGAGGGGCTGCTGGTGCCCAGGTGGGGTGGGGGATGGTTGTTTTTTTTTTTCTTAAAAAAAAAATAAATAATTATTTTTATAATAATTTAATTATTAAAAAAAAATTATAGTTAAGGATTTTTATTAAATAACACTTATCAATGGTAAACAATAACATAAGATTACCAAAGAGAATTGAAATTTTTGCAATTCACCAAAGAGAAGATGAAAAACTTGAGTGTTACCAAAAAGAATTTCCCAAAAATTTAAAACAAGGGTAAACTTGGAAAAATAAATTTGACTAAAAATTAAGTTGTCCTGCATTTAGGTAAAATCATACCTACAGTACCTCCATATACAATTACAGATTTTAGTAGTCAACATTATGTATTGTGTTGACAAATTATTGGCGATTAAGGTGTTACATTTATTAAAAATAAAAATAGAAAAATTACATAAAAATATCATATTATTAATACCCTTATAATTATAATATCACATACTTCGAGAGTGAGGGATAGCTCAAGTGGTTAGATTTTTCCTTCCGGTTACAAGAGATCCTAGGATCGATTCTCACCCCGTCCTTGTGGCTCTCTAAACACCAAAAAAAAAAAAAAAATCCCACCTACTTCATCCAAATTTCATCATCATATATGGCGTATCATATTCAGTATTTTTAGTTCAAATTACACTATCAACGTGAGTACGCGGCTATTCAAATTACACTATCAACCTTTTCTTTAAAATGTTGTTTTAGAATACAGGTTTATTACATGTGAATAACTAGTTGTTTAATTTCTTTCTTGATCATAGTATAAAGCAGCAGGCTATAATCTTGGACACATTTTTTCCATGATATTGAATTTTTGCCGAACTTATCGACCATAAAAAAGAATGTTTTTATTGGGGGCCGAATCTGGTCATATATTTGCATGTAATTGACGTCGACATTTATGCACACGATTTACTCAACAATTCTGATTTCTGTACTCGAGTTATTGTAAAAATAAACATAAACCCACAAATTAAAGTAACTAAAAGTTAAATAAATTTCAATTTTAGCAGTAAAGTTTGACAGAAATGTTTTATTACACGTTAAAAAATGTTAATTATCTTGTTTGTGCCTCAATAAAGGGGAAACCAATTACCAAATTTTTTTATAAAAAAGGAATTTATCTAACATTAAGCAGACAACCGTGCAATGTATATCTAGGTTGTCTTGTTATTATTCGTGCAACTTTAAATAAAATAATGGTGTGTACGTGTGTAATAAATATACAATATTCTAATTATTCAACTTACTCGGAAAAATTAAATAAAGAAATAAATTTATGTCCCACTTTAAAGTTCGGAGGTTTTCCATTATTTATGAAACAATTCTTTCTAGGCTATTTCCGGTCGGTTAGGAGATTTCTGTCGTAAAGATTTTTCAGAGTGGCAAATATATTTCCGTACGTGCATTTGTAAATAATTTCAATCAAATTTTGGTCAATGCTCATTTATTACAAATTAAATACAAATTAAATTAAGAAAAATGCTATATAAAACCTTTAGGGATACATATAAGAAGTTAAAAACGAGAAGAGAAAAAAAAACCAAATAAAAATATAACATTTACATCATTTACGCGTGATTTTCACGCATTTTCAAATTAATAACAAATTAGAAAAGTTACTAAATGTTTATTCTTAGCCCATAATATACCCTTAAATTAATTTATCTAAAAAAAATAATTGAAATTCATTTATAAATATGATGAGCTCAAAACCTGCAAATTCGACTATTTAATTTTCATAAACAATTTAATTACCTTACAATTTTCTAACACCGTCCATTTTACTAAGATCCATTGCAGATATAATACTTTTACTTACTAAGATCCATTTCAGATATAATACTTATACTAAAAAAAATTACCTCGCTAGGCTTGTCAAATAATGTTTCCAAGAGCATTTGGTCTCTACTCTCTAGTAGAGAGTAATGTACCATGTACAATATATATATCCTTGTTTAATCTTGTTCAGACATTTGAACGTGTAGATTGAAGCATTGAGATTTGTACATTGTACTCTTATATGTTTTCTATTGAAAAAATAGTAATAATTAGAAGATTAATTTTAAAATGGTCTATTATTCATCAATTTCATGCATGGTAACCGATGCATGTTGTTATCTATGAAATAACCTGATACATTATTGAAAATTCTAAATTAGGAAAAAGATATTCGTCTCTCATCTCTCGTCTAATCTTTAAAAGTGAATACTCTGTAAAAACTTGTGCTTTCTATATATGGAGTATTAATTCATCATTTTAGTTTACAGTATTAAGTTTTATCGAACTTTTACATTATTCTGATACGTATTACTCCACATTCATTTTTTATGATCCATCTCGATATATATACTTTTAAATCATCAAATTTAATTTTTACTCATTATAGGAAAATTTTGAAATAATTATTGATAACCAAAAGCATCTCGATATTATTATTGTTGCAATTAAACTTGCAATTTACTTGTATGCATGATTTGGGTTGAAGCTTTCTTAGTAAGCTCCGCCTGATTTCCTTTCATAATTTCCACAATAAAATTTCAAGAGTGAAAAGAGTCAAGGCCTCGATGGTAGACTAGTATTAGTTGTCTCACCATAAATGTTCAAATGTTGAACATGCAATTTTTCAACTCAAGTGAACATGGCATTGCACGCTTTGAATCTTTGATTGACTGGTAAAATGTTGTGTTAAAATTAAAAATACTTTGGCTAAGTTTTCCTAGTCAAACCACCTCATTACATTCTCTTAAGGTCTAAACTTTTCTTATCCTTCCAAATTTGAATAAAATTTAAAGACTAAAACCAAGATTATTGCTATTTAACCTCAAAGCAAATAGTTCAAAAAACACATATCATTACAATAGAAAACAAACGCAATTGATTACAATACAATATAATTACAAAAAAGTCCGCGGCATGATTTGTCTCACAGAATCACCGATAAAAGTACACTCGATTTTTAAAAAAAAGATAGAGATCAGATCCTATTATCGTAGCACCTCCACAACCCTAAAGGATTAAGAGAGGCCCCCACTAAACGAAACTTCTTGTTAATTCTTAAGAGACCAATAATAAAAGTAGTTTATACTAGCTACTAGTATAAATATACTAATATATAGAGAGTATTACCAACTCCAAACATTAATGTCCAACTAATTCAAAACATATTTCAAGTGCCAGCTATTAATTTTTAAACGATCTTTCAAACATCATCAATTATATTTTATTCCTCTGCTTTTTCCACCCCTATATATAGCAACCTCATTTGCTTCTGTTTTTACAAATTAAACCACAAAAACCAATACTACTAGTTAATTACTTCTAATTAAGAAAACTTTTATTTCTCGTGAATTTAAGCCTTTGAAGGGTAAAATTGTCATTTGAGTATATAAACTCAAGATAATGGTGGCTGAATTGTTGTCAAGAATTGCTGCTGGAAATGGGCACGGTGAAGAATCTGCCTATTTTGATGGGTGGAAAGCCTATGAAAATGACCCTTTTCACCCTGCTAATAATCCTTCTGGTGTTATTCAGATGGGTCTTGCTGAAAATCAGGTAATTATCTGCTAATCCTTCTCTTTATTATCTGATTATGACTATTTATTTATTTTTCATTTTTTATAAATATTGTCAACATTGAATATTATGGAATTTATTGACTTGTGAAAATATTGATTATTTTTTTTAAAATTGCAGCTTTCTTTTGATTTGGTGAAAGAGTGGATTCTGAAAAATCCTGCTGCTTCCATTTGTACTGCTGAAGGAATCGAACAATTTCAGGATATTGCCATCTTTCAAGACTACCATGGTTTACCAGCTTTTAGAAATGTAATTTCCTATTCAAATCCTCATTGGTCACTTTATTTCGAGTAGAGTTGAGCTTAAGTTTATTATTTCGAGTCAAGTTTTGGCCAAGTCCAACTCGAGTAGCTCACAAATGAAGTAATATAAATAATGTTGGAATTCCACGTCACACTTTGACTAAACATAGCAGCCATATATTATAGATAAATATTATTTAAGGATATAATTCATGATTATTATGGATAATTTGTGACTAATTATTGGATTAAATTGTAATTATTTATACAGGCTGTAGCAAGTTTCATGGAGAGAGTGAGAGGAAATAAGGTGACATTTGATCCTGATCGTATAGTAATGAGTGGTGGAGCTACTGGAGCCCATGAATTAATGGCATTTTGCTTGGCTAACCCTGGTGAAGCGTTCCTGGTTCCTACACCTTATTATCCTGGGTACATACACTTGGACACATTTTATTATTCTCGTTTTCTTTTGCATTAACGAAAATTCTATACACGACTTAGTCAAAGTTATGCATGATTGAGAATATTCTACTAAAAGATCGAGATTCTCTCTAATAACTAGACAGTCCAATTATTATTTGTACTTCACTAGGGTCCGATTACTGAAGAGAATATGTCATTATGTTATGGTAAATTATTCCATGTAATTAATATGTTTTATTTGCGAATATTTGCAGATTTGATCGAGATTTAAGGTGGAGAACAGGGGTGGAACTTGTCCCGGTTGAATGTCATAGCTCGAATAACTTCAAAGTAACGAGAAAATCTTTAGAAGATGCATACCAGAAAGCTCAAGAAGGCAACATCATAGTGAAAGGTGTACTTATAACGAACCCTTCGAACCCACTAGGCACAGTCCTAGACAGAGAGACCTTATCGAGCATTTTAGCTTTTACCAATGAGAAAAACATTCACTTAGTATGTGACGAAATTTATGGTGCCACTGTCTTTGGATATCCAAACTTCGTTAGCATAGCGGAGATCATGCTCGAACAAGACCACAACCCGGATTTAATCCATATCGTTTACAGTCTATCGAAAGATTTGGGATTCCCTGGCTTTAGGGTGGGGATTGTGTACTCTTACAACGATAAAGTTGTAAATGTTGCAAGGAAAATGTCAAGTTTTGGGCTAGTTTCGGCTCAAACCCAATTGCTTATAGCCTCGATGCTATCAGATGAGGAGTTTGTCGAGACTTTCCTAGTCGAGAGTAGCAAAA